CCAGGACTCTGGGATCATGACCTGAGCCGAAGGCAGAGGCTTTAACCCACTGAGCCACCCAGGCGCGCCTCTCTGCAGGTCTTTTCCCCGGGCTGCGGCATGACGGAGGCCATAGGCCTGTATGGCCTAAGCCTCCCCAAACGGGCTTGGGGCCAGTAGTGACCAACCAGTAAAGAGAAGATGAGATCCTATAGTGTCCCCCTATAGCTCCGGTGGAGCACTCCCACGTCTCCCGACATCTTGTCAGCAGTGTCCATGTGGAATCTGGGGGTTTGCATTTGGAGAACAAGTTGAGTCTGCTTTTGGGTTTTGGGAAAGTCTAGGGTCCCAGTCAGCAGAAGTGTTAAGGGCAAAGTAAGAAGTAATAGTCATTGGCAAGCCCCACCCTGCCCCAGGGGAACAGGTGACCTGCTCTATTTTTTCAGTTCTGTATCTTCAATGGTGACAAGCTGTTCTTGGACCTGATCTGGCATTACCCTGACGTCTGTGCTCCAGAAGCAGGGCTGTGAGCCCTTGTGGACACAGTGGTGGCCACCAGCACCATCAGACCCATGGGTAGTGACCATGAACGGAAGGTAGATTTCCTGGCGTTCCCCACATGGGGGCAGCTGAATGTTTAGTGCTCTCCCTCTGAGAGAGGGGCCGCAGCAAGAGGCTCTTCTCCAGTTGGCGCTCCCAGGATCCATGCCCACCAAACCTCATGACCCAAGTGCCCCCCGAGACTCTTGTCCACCAGCATCTGCCCCTGACCCCATGCCACTTGTCCAAAGTGGACTGTCTGGGGACCGGCCTAGACTCCAAGCCATAGGCATAAAGCCCAGCAGTCCCTCTGAGTATTCCCTGACTGGACATAATCAAAGGACAGAACCGGTGCCTTCAAAAAGTACTGTTTTTCACTGATAAGAACAAATAACTCCCTCCTCTGGCCCGGGGAGCGGCTGTCTGCAGAAACATCCCAAGGCAAGCCTCCTGGAAGGCTTCTGCCATGTTGACCTTGAGTCTGGCATGCCCCCCATTTTGTCTCCCCCACGGACCTTTGAAATTTAGGGTGGGTGGAGCACTGGGAGCACAAGGCCACTGGCCAACAAGGAGACCCGGGAGCTGGTGACAGATAACCATTTCAGAAGTTTGGCTAGAAAAGGAGGAAGACTGGTGGAGGTGCAGGCCTCCCTGTGAGCTAGGAAGGATGTGGCCCATATGCTCCTTTGTCACCTGGAGATGTGCCCCCTGGTCCCAGCTCTCCTTCAGTCAGTGAGGGCTGTCAGGACACCTCAGGACACACTGGTACCGTTGGGGACTGGCAGTTGAGCCAATGACGCCTGCCCCCTCCAGATAAGAACCCTTGTGAGTGCGTGGTCCCTATCGGGCAAGCGAGCCATCCCTCTCACACTCTGCATCGCGCCTGCACAAGGGAGCCCCTGGAACCCAAGCCTAAGAGCTGCTTGGGCCCACACACCCCGCCCCCGCAACCCCCTGTGGGAGTGTGGGGTGCTGGTGATACTGAGCACCACAGCAAGGGAGGGAGACAAGCTCGGCTTCATCCTCATCTCCCCCAGCCTCATTGCCCACCAAGGGAGAGGACAATGCCTGTTACTCCCTCAGGAGGCCAATCCTCAGCCCAAGAGCCCCTCCACCCTCAGGCCGCATCTTGTCCCTTCTCCCTACTCACACTGGGGGGAATGGCCCAGGAGGTGCAGTTGGCCATTGCCCCCTGGGCAGAGAGATGCTCACCAGAGACAGGATGCAAACATTAGCATTTATTTCCTGCTCCCAGGGATGGGCCACGGGCCTGCTGTACTCAGGGGCAGCCAGCGGCTTGACCTGGGGTGGCCCTGGCTGGGCTCTTGAGCAGGAGAAGCGGGCTGGACTGAGGAGGGTGACAGCCCCTGTGGGCTCTGGTGATCAGCGGCCAGGCGAACGGATACTCGAGCAGAGGTCACGGGCCTGTGAGTACTATGGAGGTGTCCGGGGCCCGGGCTCCATGACCCCGTGGCTGCCCTAGGCTGGGCCCTCCCCCTGGATCAGGGCTACCCCAGACTTGCCTGCTGGGGGCCCACAGTGGGCACTGCAGAAGCTGCTGCCCTGGGGCTGATGGTGGGGGCCTGGTGGGCACTCCCTCCCGGTGTGGAAACCCAGCTTCTTCCCCACATTCTGCGTTCAAGGGTGCCGCCAGCCCTCTGAGGGTCCCTGCAGGTCCCCGGCACTGTCTCTGGCCTGCTGAAGCTGCCCCGTATGACCAGGCCATGATTCCTGTTCTTCTTACGGCCACTCAGAGATGGGCACGGTGGGATCCCCATGCCTGGTTCCTTCTCTTTGAGGTGGCACAGAGCCCCCCAGCAGTGCCCTGCTGAGACAGCTGTCCATCCCACACCCCTGGGAACTGTCCCCTTTTCAACTCTACTTAGGTCACGGCCTGAACAGGGTCTCCAAACGCTGATGGGCACATGGGGCTGCCTCCAAAACCCTAGCCTTTGTGTCCCCATCTATAAAGTGGGTCACAACAGCACCTGGTTCAAAGGCTTCTCTTGTTACGGTGGGTGGCACTGCACCAGGGAGGGCCAGGAAATGGAGGGAGACAGAGAGAGAGATACAGACAGAGATAAGAGAGACACACAGAGAGAGAGACAAAGAGACAGGGAGAAGGGCTGGGAGCTGTCTGGGGGAGGACCCTTGCCTGTGGCCTGCTCAGGACCTTCTGTCCCTCTGCCTCCAGTCCCCGCTCCCCAAGCCTGGCCAGAAATCCGGGAGCAGTTCTGCCGGTTGCCTCCCTCTGGCTTGCTTCCTGGGGGTCTTGGTTCACCTGGGTCCCCCTCATGGTGCCTGGATCCCCTGGAGACCATGGGTGGGCAGGCAGCTACAGGCTGGGCACGAAGCGGATCCTCTGGGAGTAGGCGAGGTCGGCGATATACAGGAGCAGGTTGACGTAGGTGAAGGTGGCCACCACCAGCTGGCTGTCCCAGGAGCAGCTGCCTCGGGGGCAGTCGGGGGGCCGCCCGGGCTCCCCGTACTTGGGGTCGAAACAGAAGACAGGCCAGATCACAGCCGCGCTGAGGTAGAGGAGCACGGCTAGAAAGGTGTACACCACGACCAGACGGTCGAAGGGGCATCCCAGGCCCCCTGTGTGGCCCGTCACGCTCAAGGCCACCACAGCCACCGTGGCCAGGAAGCACAGGCTGTAGACGGCCACACACCACTGGGTGGCCACGTAGCGCCCGTAGCGGCTGTCGTAGACCAGGGCCCCAAAGATGATGCAGGCCACGAAGGCCTGGACGATCTTGAGGAGCCCCGAGACCGTGGCCATGTAGCTGGCCACCTGGCCCGGCCGGGCCCGGGTCAGGGCTACCTCCGCGGCATAGGCCAGGAAGAGGAGCCCCGCAAAGACGCTGGCTGCCAGGCGGAAGTCCCTGGTCGTGCAGCCCTCGGGCTCGGGGGGGCACTGCAGCCGGGCGAAGTACAGGGGGTAGAGGACGGCAGCCGTGGCGGACAGCAGCGTGGCTAGCATGGCGAAGGCCGCTGTAAAGTTGCCCCAGGACAGGTGCAGGCAGCTGTGCAGCCGGGTGAACTCGCAGGCCACCACGAGGCCAGAGAGGGCGAAGCAGAAGCCCCAGGCAGCCATGCAGAAGGTACCCTGGACGCCGGCGAAGCCTCCCTGGTGGGCCACCAGGCTGAAGGTTGTGCAGCCGAAGGCTAGCTGCAGGACTCGGGCAGTGCCCACAGGGGACGTCACGGCGCCTAGGTGCAGATACCCCCCCCCAGGGGGCTCCATGGCGCTGCCCATCTGGCCGGCCTCGTCCTTGCCTGGTGCGGTTCCCCTGGGGCCCTGGCGTCTCTGTGGCCCCTCTCTCTGCGGTGGTGGCTGGGACAGGTGCGGGCAGCCTGCAGCAGCGACGATGACGCTGACTCCGCCTGACTTTGCAGCAGGGCTGCCTCTCCACTGCCGCTGCCTGCGCGGGGCGGGCCGAGCACCCCGGCTCTATAAATAGGTGGTCACGATTGGAGCCCTGGAATAGCAGCCTGGTGTGTCTGTCCCCATCCCCAAGGGTCATCTGACCCCTGCATCCCGATGCCAAGCCCCTGCCAGGACCATTAACCCCTTGGCTGCTGGCACTGCCCTGCCTCTGTCGGTCAGTTGGAGGCTGGGCCTGCGGGGGAGGGGGAGGGAGAAGAGAGAGAGGGAGAGTGGGATCCGAGGCCTCCAGGACCAGCCCTGGTGAGGAGGGAGGAGGCTCTCAGGGAGGCCAGGGGAGCAGTGGGGACTGGGACGGTTTTAGGACCCTGCCATCCGAGTCCCCGGGGCTCTTGCTCAGCCTGATCTCCTGGAGGTGTTGGGGCTGACCCCAGGACACAGAGTTTTAGTTATCATTTAGGGGTCACTTGTCTTTCCTCGAGTTTAAATAACTCCTAGAAAAAACCCCAGGGCTCCCTTCTTCAGGCTGAAATATTAACAGTATACGATCACAGCCTGAGCCAGAGGCAGATGCTTCACCGACTGAGCCACCCCTGCGCCCCTGGATTCAAGAACTATTAATATTTTGCCCTATTTGTGTTCTCTCTCCCCCACACCATTAATTATTAATAATACTAATTAATTATGGGGATGCCTGGGATGCTCAGTGGTTAAGCGTCTGCCTTCAGCTCAGGTCATGATCCCGGGGTCTTGGGACCCCCTGCTCAGTGGGGGGAGCTGCTTCTCCCTCTCCTGCCGCTCCCCCTGCTTGTGGGCTCTGACGAATAAATTATAAAAATCTTTAAAAAATATATGAGTTAATTCTGCAAATACGGTGATTTGCCACAAGATACTTCTATGGACACCTCCTAAGAATAAAGCCATTCTCCCACAGTTGGGAAATTTTTTAAAAAAAGATTTTATTTATTTATTTATTTACTTACTTACTTATTTATCTATTTCACAGAGAGAGCAAGAGCGCAGGCACAAGCAGGGGGAGCAGCAGAGGGAGAGGGAGAAGCAGGCTCCCTGATGAGCAGGGATCCAAAGTGGGGGGGCTCTATCCCAGGACTTCGAGATCATGACCTCAGCTGAAGGCAGGCTGACTGAGCCACCAGGCACCCCCACAGTTGGGAAATTTAAGAATGATCATCTGATGGGGCACCTGGGTGGCTCACTCGGTAAAATCTGCCTTCAGCTCAGGTCATGATCCTGGGGTCCAGGGATTGAGTCCCGCATCAGGCTCCCTGCTCAGCAGAGAGCCTGCTTCTCCCTCTCCCACTCCCCCTGCTTGTGCTCACTTATCTCTCTCTCTCACACGTGCGTGTGCACACAGGCGCTCTCGAATAATAAATAAATAAAATCTTAAAAAAAAAAAAGAATGAGGGCACCTGTGTGGCTCAGTGGGTTAAGCCTCTGCCTTCGGCTCAGGTCATGATCCCAGGGTCCTGGGATCGAGCCCCGCATCGGGCTCTCTGCTCAGCGGGGAGCCTGCTTCCCCCTCTCTCTCTGCCTGCCTCTCTGCCTGCTTGTGATCTCTGTCTCTCTGTCAAATAAATAAATTTAAAAAAAAAGAATGATCACCTAATACATGGTTCTTACTCAATTTCTCCATCTATTCCTGAAATACATTTTATACCTTTTAATTAATTAATTAATTAATTTTATTAGGACTTGCAGGCCCTGAACTCAGGACTGTGAGATCAAGACCCGAGCTGAGATTGGGTGTCAGGCGCTCAACGCACTGAGCCCCGCATGCGCCCCACACGTTGCACCTTGTAAAGCATTTGCCCCAGACTCTGATTGGGATCATGCCTTGACGCGATCTGTCATGTCTCTCAGTTTCCTTCATTCCAGAATAGTCTCTACTCCTCCTCACCCTGCTCCTCTGTACTGTCTGTTTCCCTCTGGTTAGACTCTGTGAGATGCTCTTGGCAGGAAAACCAGGGAGTCTGTGGGGAGAACCGTGACAGGGAGCGTCCAGAGCACAGGAGGCGGCCGTCTGCATGGAATGTTGTCCCCAGTTCACGATTCCACGTCTCCATTTCCTGCTGTCTTCCCAGGGTCTCAGCAGCGCGGGGCCTCTCGTGGACAGTGTTCTCAGCGAACACACACAGCCCCTCTAGCTGTGGAATGGTAGGGGTCATCTGACCTGATGCGCCTGCTTGTGATTTTTCCAGAACAGCTAATATAACCGTAAAATAAGGGATTCTTGTTTGTTCTCATGTCTTTAATGCTCCGAGATCATGTCTGGACTCTGAGGAGGGGGCAGGATAGATGGAGGGTCCTCCTCCCGCTCGCTGGGGAGCCTGGCCTGCTCGCTCATTCAGGAGGAAGGCTCAGTCCTTGGGCAGTGCCCCGTGTGCCCTCGGGCAGGATTCTCCGCTTCATCCCTTCTGGCATCTGCCGTGTGTGCTCCTGACCCTGGCCAAGGGAGCGAGGGGACATGGGCCTTCGGCCTCGGGGGCGCAGGGAGGACGGTTTCAGCGCCCACGGCCTCGCGACCACAGGGAACTGGAAGAAGCCCTCTCCGTCGGAGCAGACAGTTTCATTTCTCTCGAGCAGACAAGTGCCATGCGCTTTAGCCAAAGTTCACAACTCAGCAAATCCTAACAGTGAGCCGAGCCACGTTTCTCCACCACACAAATGGTTTCTGGGCACCCCCCGCCACGCCCTCACCCAAGAGGTCCTCCTTGTAGCGCCTGAAACCTCGGGCATCCCGGGAAGACTGGGCTCAACATTGCCAGCGGTGGGGAGTGTCCCTGCGTGCCTGGGGACGGCCAGCCCAGATATGCAGGTGGAAGACAGCCTCCCAGGCACCCCGCAGCAGGTATGGTGAGGGAGGGGGGGCCTCGCTTCCTGAGGAGCAGACACTGCCCAGACAGGGCTGGGGTCTCTGACTGCCTGCACAGAGATGCTTGGAAGTCAGGTAAACGGGGAGTGCTGGGGAGGGGCAGGGCGTGATGACAAATGTCAACGTCCTGCGCTTTGCAGTGAAGGGCAGCCAGGACTGACCACTCGCCTCTTTCTTTCTCGGCTGGGAATATGTGCAGAAAGGGTATATTCTCTTGGTGGGAGGGGTTCCATCAGGCCTACACCACGGGTATGAAGCTCGGTGCTCTGGTGCCCTGGGGAGCACGAGGCTGCCTGCTAACCTCTGGGCCGGCCCCAGACGGAGTGAGACATCTGCTTGACCCGACGAGGGTCGCTGCCACCACCCTTCTCTGCACAGAGCCGGTCTTGGGCCGTGCCCAAGTCCCCCACCCAGCTCGACTGTGGCAGGCCCCTTTCTGTGACTCTCCCCTTTGGGGCCCTCCCCACCCCCTTTCCCCCAGGGAACATACTATCCATGGCTCTCTTGGGGGGGCTGAGGAAGGGCCCCCCCCAGCCGGCGGTCAGTCACTCCTGGATATACCTTCTTTCGTCCCCAGCATTTGGCCCCCTCATCCCTGACCTCGCTATTGCCCTTAACCATCAGGACTGCATGGGTTTCCACAGGGAACCATGGGACAGTGGCCCATGGAGGAGACCATGGGTGGGCCACTCAGGGCCACCTGGGGAAGCCAATATGGGTGACAAGTGGGCTGAAGGTGGGGCAGGAGGAGGCCCCAGAAACCCTCGGACTCTGGTTGGCTCCCTCTTGGGCCCACTGTGGCCCTGATGTGTGGGCAGAGCTGGTCAGACTCCGCCACATGGGGGGGTCACCCCTCAGCAAGGTCAGGGGGCCATGCTGGGAGTGAGGGTGTGGGGTCTCTGAGATCTCTCCCCCATTCTGTGGATGGGTCTGCCAGCTCCTGTCATCTGTGATGGGAGGCCGGGTGCGGAGCCCTGGCTGACCCTGGCAAGGGTCCTCCCTCTGCCCCGTGGCCTCTCCAGGTCTCAGCTCCTTTATCCGTCCATCTGGGGCTCTAAGAAAACCTGCTTGAGGGCTGCTTGGGACCATGCACTGGGGTGCCCAAGGCGAGAGAGCTCAGGAAGCCCTGCCAGGGAGCAGCCCCACCTCCGGGACTTTGTCCTGCAGGCGGACATGGTGAGGCCACAGAGCCCAGAACTAGTGGGGAGCACAAGGAGCACCGAGGAGGCAGGGAGCAGCACGCGGCAGAGCGAAGGCCGCATGCCCGTGCTGGGATGGGATGCCGGCCCCTGGGGCCATCGGCAGCTCACGGGGGCTGGGCCCGAAGGGGTTTTCATTCGGAATCTGCCTCTTCGCATGTGCCCGGGGGACCTCGTGAGAACAGGTACCACGCAGACTTTTAAAGAAAAATGTTCCCTGGCTGACTAGTGTCTCTCTGGGGTGACAAAATGCTGCAGCGACGTTTCTGGGGAAACGGGGCATGACGGCACGGGGGCGCGTGGTGCTCGGAGCGGCTCAGCATGTGAACGTCCCCAGTCTGTTGTGACCTCTGTGTCGCGGTCCTGACCCATGCTTGCTGCGTGCGTGGCTGGAAGAAGGGTCTGGAAAGGGCCACGAGGCGGGGTGAGGGCCTGAGCAGGACCTGTGTGTCCAGGGGCTGCCCTGTAGGGTCCTGCCCCCGGGCGGGGGGGGTCGGGGGTGTGCCGTGGCTGACGACCCCAGCAAACAAACATGCCCACAAGGTTAGGCTCTTCAGTTGTTTCTGTGTTTTTCATTGTTTAAAAAAAATACGTTACAAAGCAATATCATCAATCATATATTTCTTATTTTCCTCTTTAAAAAAATTAAAGTAATAAAAAAGTGACTTTATAAAATAATACAAAAGGCCAGGAGAGGCCGGGTGGGGGGCTGGGGGGCGGCGGGACCCAGGACCCCGGCTCAGCGGGGCTTCCCGCAGGCAGTGGTGGGGGGCAGTGAAGGCGGCAGCAGGGACAGCCAGCCCGGAGCCTAGGTCCCCGTGCTCAGCATGCCTAGCAGTTTACTGGGCTCCAGACCCTGCTGCTGCGCCACGGCCTGCACGTCAAACCCCATGTGCATGAGGAACTGCGCCACGTTCATCTCCTGCCCCGTGAACTGGTCCCGGATAGTGGGGCAGGAGGGGTTGCAGTGGGGCCAAGGGCAGCTGTCCACCAGGTGGACCGGGCACCCCTTCAGGGGGGCTTTGCTGGCCTTGTGGCTGTCGTGCA